CAATGTCGGCCAGCGACAGAGAGGGAAGAGATGGATGAAATGCGCACCTTTGAAAAAATACACGTGAGAATGAGAGAGGGAGAGAGGAAGGGGAGGGGAGGAGAGGAGAGATGAACGGAAGGAGGCACGAGAACACAGAGAGAGTGAGAGAAAGCGCGAGGGAGAGAAAACGAGAGCGAGAGCGGGAGGGATTGAGAGAGACGGAGACCGGAGAGGAACACTAGAAACTGGCGTTGCTTGGACATTGCGGCAGCAAAGGAGAAGGAGACAGAGCAATAGCGTCAACATCATCATCATCAGCAGCTGCAGCAGCAACAACTGTTCGCAACCATATAACCACGCTGTTTTCAAACGATCTCATATCATCTTCTACCTGCAATCGGGACACCTCCTTCTCCAGCTCCATGACCGCTGACCCCTCTGCGTGCTCCACGCGTCCCCTCAACTCCGACAGTTCTTCCCTGCTCACGGCAATCAAGAAATGGAACCATCAAGTGTGAGAAGCAACAACCAACAACACGGTAGTGTTAGATGAGACCATCAAGTGTGCCAAGCACCAAACAACACCACCAACGACACCAACGACGAGGACGACAACGAAGACGAAGACGAAGAGGTTCAACGCGGAGCGAGTGAACACACACGTAACGACACAAGCGAGAGGTCCACAGCCAAAGAGATGGCCATGCTCTTGTTTGCTGAGATGGTTGACACCCCATATGTTACAAAGGCCTTCGACGCTTACAGGGCGCAAATACCTACCGCGACACATGCAGCCGGGGGAGTAAACATGCAACAAAGGCACACATTGAAATACACAGCTGCTCGATCGGCAAGAGCATCTTGACCGATTCGTGGCCGGAGCTGGGGGATAACAGACAACCAACCCCAGCGTTTTCCTTTCCGGCAGCCATGCCAAGAACGCGGCTTGCACTGCAGCATACCAGCGGGGAAATACACAATAAATCGGCCTCCACCCGCACACTGCTACCGCCGTGCTAAGGTAATTGCGCCGTCCTAACTCTAGGCACAGCCCCCCCCCCCCCCCCCCCCCCCCCCCCCCCCCCCCCCCCCCCCCCCCCCCCCCCCCC